AGAGGAGGGCACCAGATCTCATTATAGATGGCTGTGAGCCACCATGTGGTTGCTAGGAATTGAACTCAGAACCTCAGGAAGAGCAGCCAGTGCTCTTAATCACTGAGCCATCTCTCCAGCCCGGATTTCCTATTTTAGAGGCGTAGGCAGAAAAAGTCAGAGAGCTCCAAAGAGACGTCAGTGAGAAATGATCAGTGCTTTAGACAAATGATCAGGTAGAGGAAGGGAGGCGTTCAGGGCTTCCCTGGGTGGACCTGGGTGTCCTGCTCTCCTGGGGCTCACAGGTGTGTGGAGAATGGGGAGATGAAGTGATGGTTTCTACCGCAGGGCTCTGGGGTTCAATGTCCTTTGGTTTCTTCTGGGTCTTGTGGTTGATAGAAGAGTGGCCCGTGCCCTCTTTCCCATAGCAGTGGACACTGTTATTTTTCTGCTGCTGAGCAATGGGGGCAAATCCTGGTCCCAGCCCTGGAGGGCTTTCCTCTTCAATACCTGTGTTTCCCATGAGAGATTCCTATGAGACACACAGGTGATCCTGGGATCCCTGAGCCTAAAGTGTCTTCTAGGGTCCTCACATGTGTCCTCCTGCAGGGATGGGCTCTGTCCCTGAAGTGCACATCAAAGGTACAGAAGATGGTGGTGTGTGTGTGGTGTGCATTGCTTCAGGGTGGTACCCGAAGCCCCAGGTGCAGTGGAGAGACTCCAGAGGGGAGAATCTCTCAGCATCCTCTGAGACCCACACTGAAGATGCTGACGGTCTGTTCAGCATGGAGACCACATTGGTGGTGAGAGACAGGTCCTTTGGGAGTGTGACCTGCTCCACCTTCAATCCCATGCTGGGCCAGGAGAAGGCCATGGCCATGTTCATCCCAGGTGAGGGCAGTTTTTCCCTCCTACAGAGCTCGGGAAGTGGATGGCCTTTCTGGAGTGTGCTGGGCTGGCTGTCCTCAGGTGTGCCCCTCACACACCTGGCTCTCTGCCTGGGCCACAGAGCCCTTCTTCCCTCAGGCTTCTCCCTGGACGCCAGCTTTTGCTGTGAGCATGACCATGATGGGACTTCTAGTCCTAGGGTCTTGCTGTTTTCTCAGAAGGGAGTGGCGTGCAAGGCTGCAGGTGCATCAGGAACGGGAGAATCTGCGGTGTGAGCAGGAGGAGTTGCTGAAGACAAAGGAGCATGCGCTGGAGACAGCGTGTAAGTCCTGATGGCAGTGAAGGACTGGGCCAGCGTCTCCAGGAAGATCCAGGGTTCTGGGATCAGAGTAGGTGGCCCCCAAAGCCCCGAGAGCAGGGCTGGAGTCCTGGGGTCAGCTGGGCGTTAGTGCAGCCTAGTAGGAAGCAGCATTGTTTCCTGTTTTTCTGCCGCATGCACAGATCCTGTCTTCTCCCTGTCTTTCAGGCACACTCCAGGAGGAGCTGGGTGAGTCATGCTTTTCTTCCCAAGCCTTGTGTGTCCCCTCGTGCTTTTCCTCCTCACTCTGTGTCCCCTCCGTAGCCCAGCAGCTCACTTGAGTTCTCCATGTTCTTTTTCAGATCGGAGGAAGGCAGCTTATATGGCTGGTGAGTGACTGCCCCAATGTCCCGTGTTTCCCTGTCCACATGTGCCCAGGGGTGCCCTCTCCTTGATTCTAGACAGAAAGGGGACCCCTTGAGGGGACAGAAGTGGAAGGTTCTGGGAAGGGGAAGCATGTTCTATGGGCTTTTCCAGATCTCTGCTCAGAGCTGGAAGACCTGGGTCTCTGGATGTGTCCTGCGCCCTGGGTCTTATTCCCACCAATACCTGTCGTCTGTGTTGTTGACTTTTGTCTCTTTTAGCTCTAGACTATTGCCTGCCTTGGGGTCCAACAACAGGGTTAAACTTTCAGTGAAGATGCAGGCAGGAACCTGGGGCAGGAACTGAAGCAGGGGTCACAGAGAACGACCGCTTGCTGTCTCACTCCCTATGGCCTGCTCAGCCTGCTTGCTGGTCCTCTCCGGGATCCCCTTCCTAGTACTGACACTATCCTCAATGGGCTGACCCCTTCTATAATAATCCTCAATCAAGAAAATGCCCCACAGCCTTGCTTGCAGCCGTTCTGATGGGGGCATTTTCTCAGCTGAGTCTCCCTCCTCTCAGATGACTCTAGCTTGTGCCAAGTTGACAAAAAGCCAACCAACGGAAGATGTTTATAAGTAAATCAGGTCACAGACCCTGGAGTTTGACCTCCACCCATTCCACAGTCATCCCCCAGGGAGTCTGTTCCCTCAGCTCTGAAGGTGTTGATCAAAGTGATGGGCAGAGCCGGGGCTGCGGACCTGAGTGGTTAGGGATGATGAGCTGGGTGCCCGTGAAATAGTGGTGCCCTGCAGTAGAGATATTTTACATGAGGAACAGTGGGCNCGTGTCTGGGGTCACAGGCATTGTGGACATGGAGAATGGGATTGACGGTGTCTCTCTGGCCTCTCCTCAGGGTGCTGAGAAGGGCTGGGCCTGGGTTCTGGGTAAAGTTCTCTGCACTCTGGCTGGGCATGGGGTGGAAAGGAAGGAATGGCTTCCTCTCAGAGGACTTGGATGTCCCCAGCTCTCCAGTCATGTTCTGCATGGCGGGAGGAACCTGGGATGGGTGTTTGTCAGTGCTGGGTTGTGGGTGCGTTCACCCTGGTAGCGTAGACATGTTTTGTCCAGTGGCGCAGACACCAGCGCTGATGATCCTCTCCCTGCTCAGGTGTCCAAGCTCTGTGTGGAACGTGCCTCCTGCTGCAGCCCAAGGGTCTTGGTCTCCCCACCTGTGTCTCCCCGGCTCTGAGGACATGGATAACTGCTGCAAGCATGCTCTGCTCTGCCATGTGACCTGCCTGTTTGTCCTTGCACAGCTGCTTACCCGGGCGTCCACAGGTGAGTGTGCCCTGCTCTCTCTCCCCATGTCTCCCTGCAGTGATGGGGATCCACCACGTACCAGGCTGCTCAGATGTGCATAGACTCATTAATACTGGGACCTAGGGGTTTTCTAGTGTTCCATTTACAGTGAGTTACTAATAAGATCTAGGCTGACCCTGCTTGCATGAGCGTTCTAGAGGCTGGGAATGGAAAATTCTGTGTCCTTGACCAGCCTGAGCACAGTAGCCACACCCTACCTGGGGAGCAGTGCTGGGAACTGGCAGTGTGTCAGGGCTGTTAGGAGCGGCAGAGGGCAGGGTTGGCTGAAGCAGAGTGAGCCAGGGAGAGAGAAGCAGGGGCTGAGGGTGGGTGTTCCTGCAGGGGTGAGGGTGGGAGGTCCTGCAGGGGTGAGGGTGGAGGTCCTGCAGGGGTGAGGGTGGGAGGTCCTGCAGCAGGTGACACTTTCAGTCCCAGTATCACAGTCCTTCTGGGCTAGAGGGCCAAGGGCACTCAGACTGAGGCAGCCCTCTTTCTTCTTTATCAAAAAGCGATTGGGGTCCCCGGTGGTGCTGGGTGATTTTTCTCAGAAGTAGCCTTTGGCTCCATGTATATGGGTGCTCTTTTCAGAAAGTATGACTGTGTACCCCCTCATGTCTGATACCCACAGAGTCTAGAAGACTTTTACAGACAGTCGTGAGTTACCATGTGGTGCTGGTAATGGAACCTGGGTCCTCTGCAAGTGGAATTAGTGTTCTTAGCTACTCAGTCCTCTCTCCAGGCCTTTGCTCTGTGTCTTAAAGTTCACGTATAGTTCAGTGGAGGAAGATGTGCATACAGTGAATTCAGGGCTGGAGGTAATGAGTTTCCTGTGTGTGGTCTAAAACAGACCAGGTAGAACTATGTTTCTCAAGGTGCGTTCTCAAACCCAAGGTGTGAGCATCTGCAGGGATTTTACAAAGGCAGGATCTTGGCCCAGGCCAGACCTACTCAAGCCTTAGCTCTGGGCTGAGACCCAGTTACCTGAAGGGCACCTGGGACCAGGTGCACGCAAGCTGGAGAGGGAACACACAAGAGGTTTCCTAATGGAAGGGTCTGGGGCCAGGGGCACAGGCAGAATGGGGAGTCTCTGTCTCTCTGTCTCTCTCTGTCTGTCTGTCTCTCTCTCTGTCTGTCTCTGTCTCTCTGCCTCTGTCTCTGTCTCTCTCTCTCTCAGTCAGGGTCTCTCTGTAGCTTTGGAGCCTGTCCTGGTACTAGCTCTTGTAGACCAGACTGGCCTCGAACTCACAGAGATCTGCCTGCCTCTGCCTCCCGAGTGCTGGGGTTAAAGGTGTGCGCCACCACTGCCTGGCTCTGAAGATCTCTTGTACTTTAACCATAGACGACTAACCCACAATGCCTAGAGCAACCTCATCCGGCCTCTGCCTCCTGGTCCCAGGACATTCCATGCCATAGTGGGTGTTCTCTGCTTTAACCTGTGTCTCTTCAGTCCTCTCACGGTGACATCTGTGTCCACAGAGCAGTTCCGGGTGCTTGGTCCCTCAGACCCCATCGTGGCTGCTCCAGGTGGGGAAGCCATACTTCCCTGCTCCCTTTCTCCAGCCGTGAGTGTGGAGAAGATGGAGCTCAGGTGGTTCCGCTCCAGATTTTCAGAAGCTGTGTTTGTCTATCGGGACCAACAAGAGCAGAAGCAAGAGCAGATGGCTGGGTATTCAGGACGCACCTCGCTGGTGAAGGACCAGTTCCACCAAGGCAAGGCTGCTGTGCGTATCGGAAATGTCCAGGTCTCAGACAGAGGGATGTATGTCTGCTTCTTCAGACAGGGTCTCTTCTATGAAGATGCCATCTTGGAGCTGAAGGTGGCAGGTTGGTTAACTGATCCCTGTTCTAAAGATGTTGGGGGACCTGTGTGTGGGAGGAAAGTAAGGGATCATGTCACTCAGCTCCCTAATTTATTTTTGAGCAATGTCTTTTGTAGAACAGACTGTGGTTAAGCCAGCCGTGTAGTGGAGGGTGACCCTGAACGTTGGATCCTCCTGCTTCTTCCTAATTCTGGGCTCACAGGCATTCTCTGCCATACAGGGCTCTGGGCCATCATTGTTATTTCTATTTATTTTTAGTTTCATTTTTTTGAATTAAGAAATAGGTGATACATTCTTCTATAGGTTAAGTCAATCTAAATTCTATATGTGGAGTCCCTAAATGTGCTGGGCCTTGTTCTGGGGACCAAGAATTCTGTCAATGTCATGGAAAACCCCAACTGTTAGACTTCATATTTTTTAAAATATTTATTTATTTATTATGTATACAACATTCTGCCTCCATGTTTGCCCTCACGCCAGAGGAGGGCACCAGATCTCATTATAGATGGCTGTGAGCCACCATGTGGTTGCTAGGAATTGAACTCAGAACCTCAGGAAGAGCAGCCAGTGCTCTTAACCTCTGAGCCATCTCTCCAGGCCGGATTTCCTATTTTAGAGGCATAGGCAGAAAAAGTCAGAGAGCTCCAAAGAGACGTCAGTGAGAAATGATCAGTGCTTTAGACAAATGATCGGGTAGAGGAAGGGAGGGCGTTCAGGGCTTCCCTGGGTGGACCTGGGTGTCCTGCTCTCCTGGGGCTCACAGGTGTGTGGAGAATGGGGAGATGAAGCAATGGTTTCTACTTCAGGGCTCTGGGGTTCAATGTCCTTTGGTTTCTTCTGGGTCTTGTGGTTGATAGAAGAGTGGCCGTGCCCTCTTTCCCATAGCAGTGGACACTGTTATCTTTCTGCTGCTGAGCAATGAGGGCAAATCCTGGTCCCAGCCCTGGAGGGCTTTCCTCTTCAATACCTGTGTTTCCCATGAGAGGTTCCTATGAGACACATAGGTGATCCTGGGGTCCCTGAGCCTAAAGTGTCTTCTAGGGTCCTCACATGTGTCCTCCTGCAGGGATGGGCTCTGTCCCTGAAGTGCACATCAAAGGTACAGAAGATGGTGGTGTGTGTGTGGTGTGCAATGCTTCAGGGTGGTACCCGAAGCCCCAGGTGCAGTGGAGAGACTCCAGAGGGGAGAATCTCCCAGCATCCTCTGAGACCCACACTGAAGATGCTGACGGTCTGTTCAGCATGGAGAGCACATTGGTGGTGAGAGACAGGTCCTTAGGGAGTGTGACCTGCTCCACCTTCAATCCCATGCTGGGCCAGGAGAAGGCCATGGCCATGTTCATCCCAGGTGAGGGCAGTTTTTCCCTCCTACAGAGCTCGGGAAGTGGATGGCCTTTCTGGAGTGTGCTGGGCTGGCTGTCCTCAGGTGTGCCCCTCACACACCTGGCTCTCTGCCTGGGCCACAGAGCCCTTCTTCCCTCAGGCTTCTCCCTGGACGCCAGCTTTTGCTGTGAGCATGACCATGATGGGACTTCTAGTCCTAGGGTCTTGCTGTTTTCTCAGAAGGGAGTGGCGTGCAAGGCTGCAGGTGCATCAGGAACGGGAGAATCTGCGGCGTGAGCAGGAGGAGTTGCTGAAGACAAAGGAGCATGCGCTGAAGACAGTGCGTAAGTCCTGATGGCAGTGAAGGACTGGGCCAGCGTCTCCAGGAAGATCCAGGGTTCTGGGATCAGAGTAGGTGGCCCCCAAAGCCCCGAGAGCAGGGCTGGAGTCCTGGGGTCAGCTGGGCGTTAGTGCAGCCTAGTAGGAAGCAGCATTGTTTCCTGTTTTTCTGCCGCGTGCACAGATCCTGTCTTCTCCCTGTCTTTCAGGCACACTCCAGGAGGAGCTGGGTGAGTCATGCTTTTCTTCCCAAGCCTTGTGTGTCCCCTCGTGCTTTTCCTCCTCACTCTGTGTCCCCTCCGTAGCCCAGCAGCTCACTTGAGTTCTCCATGTTCTTTTTCAGATCGGAGGAAGGCAGCTTATATGGCTGGTGAGTGACTGCCCCAATGTCCCGTGTTTCCCTGTCCACATGTGCCCAGGGGTGCCCTCTCCTTGATTCTAGACAGAAAGGGGACCCCTTGAGGGGACAGAAGTGGAAGGTTCTGGGAAGGGGAAGCATGTTCTATGGGCTTTTCCAGATCTCTGCTCAGAGCTGGAAGACCTGGGTCTCTGGATGTGTCCTGCGCCCTGGGTCTTATTCCCACCAATACCTGTCGTCTGTGTTGTTGACTTTTGTCTCTTTTAGCTCTAGACTATTGCCTGCCTTGGGGTCCAACAACAGGGTTAAACTTTCAGTGAAGATGCAGGCAGGAACCTGGGGCAGGAACTGAAGCAGGGGTCACAGAGAACGACCGCTTGCTGTCTCACTCCCTATGGCCTGCTCAGCCTGCTTGCTGGTCCTCTCCGGGATCCCCTTCCTAGTACTGACACTATCCTCAATGGGCTGACCCCTTCTATAATAATCCTCAATCAAGAAAATGCCCCACAGCCTTGCTTGCAGCCGTTCTGATGGGGGCATTTTCTCAGCTGAGTCTCCCTCCTCTCAGATGACTCTAGCTTGTGCCAAGTTGACAAAAAGCCAACCAACGGAAGATGTTTATAAGTAAATCAGGTCACAGACCCTGGAGTGTGACCTCCACCCATTCCACAGTCATCCCCCAGGGATTCTGTTCCCTCAGCTCTGAAGGTGTTGATCAAAGTGATGGGCAGAGCCGGGGCTGCGGACCTGAGTGGTTAGGGATGATGAGCTGGGTGCCCGTGAAATAGTGGTGCCCTGCAGTAGAGATATTTTACATGAGGAACAGTGGGCGCTTCACCCAGAGCTCACTTATATACACTCTCTTTTTCAGCCTATCTCCAAATCTACCTTTCCACAAAACGCTGGTGCCGTCCTGGTTGCTGACAACTGCTGAACAATTTTATTTTGTTCTCTAGGATAATTTCCCATATAGCACTTGTTTTACTTAGGGTTTCTATTGCTGTGGAAAGAAACCTTGACCACAGGAACTCTTAGGAGGAAAATATTTAATTGGCTTTCTCTTAGTTCTGAGGTTAAGTCCATCATTGGTATGGCAGGAAGCAAGGTGCCAGGTGGGCAGACATGGTGCTGGAGAAGGCGCTGGGCGTTCTCACGTCTGGACTCAGGGACAACAGAAAGTGGTCTCTCTAACCTGAGCATAGGAGACCTCAAAGCCCATCTCCACAGTGACACACTTCCTTCAACAAGACCACGCCTACTCCAACAGGGGCACACCTCCTAATAGTGCCACCCCCTTTGGGGGCCATTTTCTTTCAAACCGTCACAGCGGTTATTAACAATGAAGCTGAATAATCTTAGAATACTTTTATTATTATTATTTTAGTAATTCCTTTTTGGGTTTTGAAGTAGAGGCAGCTGTTTGACAGCTAAAAAGCCACATAGCATCTGATCCGTGGGGGACTTAGCCTAAGGCACCATTCTCCTCATCCCTGGTCCACGGAATTTCCCACAATTTTCTGCTGCCTCTGTATCTTGGAGGGGCCAGCTCCTCAGGGTCCTCTCTCCTCCTAGGTAAACCTCACCCTTAGAATGGAGGGAGGATGGGTTGGTAGACTGTTTGAGTGGGCTGTTCTGATTGGTTCTCAGGAGAATATGTTCCTTTGCAGCCTGGAGGAAGGCCCAGCTGTATGCAGGTGCGTGACTATGGAGACTGCTGTCTTCTGGGCAGAACACGGGTCTTAGTGCTTCCCCTGCTGTGAGGAAAAGCAGCTTGAGGAGGAAAGTTTGTGTGACTCACACTTCCAGTCCATACCACAGCAAGTCAAGGCAGGAAGTCACACAGGGCAGGATGTGGAGTTCGGAGCGAATGCAGAGTTCATGGAGAACTGCTGGGTACCGCATTAGTCACCTGGCTTGTTCTGTTTCTTTTCCCATGTTCCTATGACCACTGTCCATGGGATGGCACAGCCCACCATGGGCTGCATTCTCCAGTTTCAACCATCTCCTGTATCCAGTCCATCAACCAAGAGAATTCCCCACGGGCTTGCCTACTGGCCAATCCTATGGAAGCATTTTCTCAGTTAATATTCCTCCTTCCCAGATGACCCTACCTTGTGCCAAGCTGGCACAGAAGCTTGTCAGCACAATGTAGCCATTGTCCTTGGAGCTGTCAGAAGCAGTGACTGCTCAAAGGACATCTGCACAAGACTGGGTGCATTGGGAGAGAGGAGTCACATGGCCTGCCCTTGCTAAGATGTTTTTTTCTCTCTCACTCTGTGTGTGTGTTCTGTAAGTGTGTGTGTGTTGTATGTGTGTGCGTGCATATGTGTGTGAGTGGTGTATGTGTGCGCATGTGTATGTATGTTTGTATGTGTGTGTGTGGTATATGTGTGCACATGTGTGTGTGTTGACATGAGTGTGGAGATCAGAGGACAACTTCAAGAAATCTTTGTTTTCTTTCCATGAAGTGGGTCCCCAGGATCAGTCTCAGGTTGTCTGGGTTGGTGACAGGCACCATTATCCTTGCTAAGTCATCTCTATTACTCTCTCTACGGGGCAGATGAAGGGGGCTGGGGGAGGCCTCATAATCAGGCTCTTCCCCAGTACATATGTAGACAGTTCATGGCTGTTGGGGGAGAGGGATTTTTAGCATCGTGGTCGCTCATCCATGGCTCATGCTTCTCTAAGGAACCCTAATGACCGCCATTGTGTCTGTGTTCCCACGCACTGTGCTCATGTGGACGTTCCTCTGATCTGTTGTTGGTACCCTGTCCCTGTGCTCAGACATGTGTGCACCTCACACAGCACCGGCTCTCATGTTTCCTCACCTTCTCCAGCTTCCGTCATCCTCTTCTCTATGTGTGCACGTGTGTCCCCACCCACTCTCTGGCAGGATGAGATGAGTGTCACTGGTGAGCCTCCATCAGAACACCACAGGAGCCTCCTCAGGCTCACAGAATGTATTCTGGTTTGTCCTCTGCTGTAAGTCATTGTCAGCATCAGCACAGCCCAGTCTGCAGTCACCTGGTTCAGTGGGCATCTTCTAGGAGCAGGGTTAGTGGCCAGTTCAGCTTTGAGTAGATGTTGGGCTCTGTTGCTAGCCAGGACTCTAAATTATTTCTCTGGACCAGACCCCAACATAAACTATCTCTCTCTGGACTGGCGTGGAAGCGTGGGAATAAAGACACAACTCACATGGTTTTATTGGGAGGGAGATTCTCAGTGATCCCTCATGAAATCCTGAGTTCACATCCTGAAGAATTCCTCCTCGTTTATTCTCCAAATAGCCTTTATTCCAAAACATAAATTGAGGGGTAAATACATTAGCATTCTGCCTCCTAGGTAACCAGGCAAATGGCTTTTAGTCACACCTGTCGGCTTTGTACACTAGCTGTCACATCTGGTAGGCTTGAATCAGCATCTCTATCAGGAATCCTCCAAATACAAAGAAATGGGCAAAACCCCATCTTGACCTTTTGTTAGGTAGAGACAGCCTGTCTGGAAGGTTACGTGGCCACTTCAGATACTGACTATGGCTTTAGAACCTGGCAGCCATACCATATAGAAATATGGGCCTACAGGTAGAGACTGGTGGAGGTCATGATGATGCTGTGGAAGGAAGATTCCAGAAGTCAGGTCAGGCACCTCAGGCTCACATCTTGGTCTTTGATTCCGTGTCCTCCTTATAGTTGGAATTCCTCTGCTTTTGTCTCAGCTTTGAGTTCCTCTTCTTCCTAGTCCTCTGGTCTATTGGTGTTCTTCTCTCTCTCTCTCTCTCTCTCTCTCTCTCTCTCTCTCTCTCTCTCTCTCTCTCTCTCTCTCTCTCTCTCTCTCTCTCTCTCTCTCTCCTCTGTGTTCCCTGCTGGATCCTTCTCCAGAGCACCTGGCTGCTCAGGGATTGGGTGTTTAGACCAGGTGTTCTGAGTTTGTTCGGGCCTTCAGGATGTTTGTGGTCTTGCTGAGGCCTGTGTGATCCACTTGAAATTATATATGACTCTCTGTGATGTTGCATCATGGGAACCAACGTACAACTTAGAATTGCTCACATACATTATCTCTTCTTTATTTTTTAAATATTTATTTATTTTTTTGCTGAGAATTCTCTGTTTAGATTCGTATCCCATTTTTAATTGGATTATTTGGTTTTCTGATGTCTAGTTTCTTGAGTTCATTATATATTTTGAATATCAGTCCTCTGTCAGATGTGGGTGAAAATCTTTTCCCATCTTGAAGGCTGCTGTTTTGTCCTTTTGACCATATTCTTTGCCTCAAAAAGCTTTTCAGTTCAGGAGGTCCCATTCATTAACTGTTGCTCTCAGTGTCTGTGCTACTTCCCACTTCCTCTTCCATCAGGTTCAGTGTATCTGGTTTTGTGTTGAGGTCTTTGATCCACTTGGACTTGAATATTGTGCAGGGTGATAGACGTGGATCTATTTGTATTCTTCCCCATGCAGCCGTGCAGTTGGACTGGCATCATCGCTTTCTGTATTCTATTGTATAATTTTGGCTTCTTTATAAAAAAAATCAGGTGTCTATAAGTGTGTGGATTAGTTCTGGGTTTTCAATTTGATTCCTTTGACCAACCTGTCTGTTTTGATGCCGATGCCATGCAGTTTCTCCTGCTATTGCTCTGGTCCAGTTTGAGATCAGGGTTAGCAATACTCTTGGAAATTATTTTATTGTACAGTATTGTTTGAGCTATCCTTTTTTTTTCATTTGAAGTTGAGTATTGTTCTCTCAATGTCTGTAAAGAATTGTGTTGGAATGTTGATCTGAATTGCACTTAATCATAGATTGCTTTTGGTAAGATGGCAAATTTTATTATATTAATCCTATTGATCAATGAGCATGGGAGATCTTTCCATCTTCTGACATCTTCTATAATTTTTTTCTTCAAAGATGTGAAGTTCTTGTCATACTTTTGTCAGTGTTCTGTTTTGCATGGGTCCATGGGAAAATTAGAGTCATTCCAAAGTATATTTTAGACTTTATAGCATCCTGGGCATCAGCTTCTAGTGAACTGACAGCTGGTTGCTTCCAAAAAACCTTTTTTATTGTTACATAATTTACACCTCTTTGCAAGTCAGTTTCTGCAAACCAAATCTCTTCTCTGAGGTTGTCTGAAGGACCCATCTGCCCAAGTAATTCTCAGTCACCAGGCTTCTTGGTTTTCCAAGCCCTCTCATAACCAAGTTTTGCCAAGCCCTTGAAACTTTCAGGAAGAACTCAGATAAAAATCAAACACACTAACAAAAGGTGAGAGGAACAAAAAGTAACATTCAGAAAAGGCAACAGTTACAAAGGTAACAGTAACAAAAAGTAACAGTAATGAAAGGTAACATTCACACAACAGAACAGCCTAGTAGTGGTAGCGCTTGTCTTTATTTCTGGCACTTGGGCTGCAGAGGCAGGTGGATCTCTGTGAGTTCCAGGCCAGCCTGGTCTACAAGAGCTAGTTCCAGGACAGGCTCCAAAGCTACAGAGATGCCATCTTGAAAAACAAAACGGAACAAAAACAAACAAAAAGAGGTAACAGAACAAAAGGTAACAGAACAAAAAGTAGCAGTTACAAGGTAACAGTCATAAACAGCAACAGTAATGAAAGGTAACATTCACACAACAGAACAGCCTAGTAGTGGTAGCGCTTGTCTTTATTTCTGGCACTTGGGCTGCAGAGGCAGGTGGATCTCTGTGAGTTCCAGGCCAGCCTGGTCTACAAGAGCTAGTTCCAGGACAGGCTCCAAAGCTACAGAGATGCCATCTTGAAAAACAAAACGGAACAAAAACAAACAAAAAGAGGTAACAGAACAAAAGGTAACAGAACAAAAAGTAGCAGTTACAAGGTAACAGTCATAAACAGCAACAGTAATGAAAGGTAACATTCACAAAAAGTAACAATTACAAAAGAAACAGTAACAAAAAGCAGTATCCCAGGGGGCAGTTAAAAGCCCAGGGCCAACACTGCAGAATTAAAGCCAGATGCAATGCTCTGAGGGACCTCCCTCTATATACAGGCCTTTCACTTGCTTGGCTAATTACACCAAGATATTTGATATCATTTATAGCTGTTGTAAAGGGTGTTGTCTCCCTGATTTCTTCCTCGATCCCTTTATGATTTGTGTATAGGAAGGCTATTGATTTTTCCTTGAGTTAATTTTATATCCAGACACTTTGCTGAAGGTGTTTATCAGCTTTAGGAGTTCCCTGGTAGAGTTTTGGGGGTCACTTATGTATACTATCATATCATCTGCAAATAGTGACACTTTGACTTCTTTCTTTCCAATCTGTATCCCATTGATCTACCTTAGCTGTCTTATTGCTCTAGTTAAAGCTTCGAGTACTATAGCCAAAGGATTTGGAGAGAGTGGACAGCCTTGTCTTGTTCCTGATCTTGGTGAAACTGCTTTAAGCTTCTCTCCATTTAATGTGATGTTGGCTATAGGTCTGCTGTAACTGCCTTTATTATGTTTAGGTATGTCCCTTTTATCCCTCACCCCTCCAATGTAGGATCCCGCTCCTCCTACAGAGTCAGTTAGGGTTAATAGATAGATCCTTGTGGCCAAAGAAAAGTCAGCTGAAAGAAACAGAAGACAGGATAGAATCGGGCAGTCTGTCCGGTCATGTCCAAGCAGCCAAACAGCTGAGTGTTTATTTCAGAACTTGCTTATATACAAAAGCAGAACAAAGCACAGCACAGACGTCAGTCCGTATCTAACTGCAGGACCATTCCTGCCCTTGAGTGAGCAGCCTCCTCTCCAACAGGTGCTTGCTGCTCGGAAGCAGCCTTACTTTTTTTATCTTCACACTCCTGAGGTTTGTCATCAGCAGTATACTTTTAAGTAGATAGAGTGTTTTATTTCTTATGGGATGAATCAGAAGTCTTTCACAGCCCTCGAGGTTATAGGAAAAAGTAGAGCAGGCGAGCTTGAACTCAAATGACTTCTTTAAGTCAGAAATGACTCCAGATGGAAACTGAGTCCCATGTGGGCTCCCACACTCCAAGACTTTTTTTTTTTTTATCATGAAGGGGTGTTGGAGTTTGTGAAAGGCTTTTTCAGCATCTAATGAGTTGATCCATGTGGTTATTTCCTTTCTGTCTGTTTATATGGTGGGTTACATTGATAGATTTTTGTATGATGAACCATCTCTGCATCTTTGGGATGAAACGATTGATCATGAATGGTGATTTTTTAAAAATATGTTCTTGGATTTGATTTATGAGTATTTTATGTAATATTGTTACATCAATGTTCATGAGGGAAGTTGGTTAAAATTCTCTTTGTTGAGTCTGTGGTTGGGTATCAGGGCTATTGTGTCCTCATAAAATGAATTTGGCATGTTCCTTCTGTTTCTATTTTGTGTAATAATTTGAGTAGTATTGATATTGGTTATTCTTTGAAAGTCTGGTAGAATTCTGCTGCAAAACTATCTGGCTCTAGGATTCTTTTTTTGATTGGAAGATTTAATGGCTACTCCTATTTCCTTAGGGGTTAAAAGTCTATTTAAATTGTATATCTAATCTTAATTTTACTTTGGTAAGTGGTGCCTATTGAAAAAAATGTCCATTTCTTTTAGATTGTCCAGTAATTCTATTTCCTCTGTGTCTGTTGTTAAGTTCCTCCTTTCATTTTGATTTTGTTAATTTGGATATTCTCTCCGTCTTTTAGTTAGTTTGGGAAAGGGTTTGTCTAATTTGTTGATTTTCTCAAAGAACCAACTCTTTGTTTCATTGGTTCTTTGTGTTGTTCTCTTTGTTTCTGTTTTATTGATTCTGCCCCTGAGGTTGATAATATCTTGCAGTCTACTCCTTTTGGGTGTGTTTGCTCTAGTGCTTCCTTCCAGATGAATTCTGCCTGCATGTATGTCCGCACATCAGAGGAGGGCGCCAGATCTCATTACAGATGGTTGTGAGCCACCATGTGGTTGCTGGGAATTAAACTGAGGACCTCAGGAAGAATAGCCAGGGCTCTTAACCACTGAGCCATCTCTCCAGCCCTCAGTTTCTTTTCTCATATTCTCTATGACCACCTCCCAAGGGATTACACTGCCCTCAATGGTCTGAGCCCTCACACATCAATCACCAATCAAGAAGATGTCCCATAGACTCGAGGGCTGTGAAAGACTTCTGATTCATCCCATAAGAAATAAAACACTCTATCTACTTAAAAGTATACTGCTGATGACAAACCTCAGGAGTGTGAAGATAAAAAAGTAAGGCTGCTTCCGAGCAGCAAGCACCTGTTGGAGAGGAGGCTGCTCACTCAAGGGCAGGAATGGTCCTGCAGTTAGATATGGACTGACGTCTGTGCTGTGCTTTGTTCTGCTTTTGTATACAGGCGATTCCTATGGAAGCATTTTCTCTATTTAGATTCTTTTCTCCCAGATGACCCTATCTTGTGTTGAGCTCACGTAAAAGTTAGTCAGCACAATGTAGTGTTGTCTCCTTGAGTTGTCAGAAGCTGTGACTACCCAGAGACCTGCATAAGAGTTAACCCATGAGGAGAAGAGAGCCACAAGGACCTGCCCTTACTAAATGGAGATTTTCTGTCTTCGTCTCTGTCTGTCTCTGTCTCTGTCTCTGTCTCTCTCTGTGTTTATGGAAGGTATGTTGTCCCCACAACTCCCAAGTCTGTGCTTTAAAAAATGGGTGTCTGAAATCTCTTACATGACCTGTGCTTCTCTTGTAGATTGGCGCAGGGAGCACTTCCAGTCCTGTGAGTGACTCNGGGGCTGCGGACCTGAGTGGTTAGGGATGATGAGCTGGGTGCCCGTGAAATAGTGGTGCCCTGCAGTAGAGATATTTTACATGAGGAACAGTGGGCGCTTCACCCAGAGCTCACTTATATACACTCTCTTTTTCAGCCTATCTCCAAATCTACCTTTCCACAAAACGCTGGTGCCGTCCTGGTTGCTGACAACTGCTGAACAATTTTATTTTGTTCTCTAGGATAATTTCCCATATAGCACTTGTTTTACTTAGGGTTTCTATTGCTGTGGAAAGAAACCTTGACCACAGGAACTCTTAGGAGGAAAATATTTAATTGGCTTTCTCTTAGTTCTGAGGTTAAGTCCATCATTGGTATGGCAGGAAGCAAGGTGCCAGGTGGGCAGACATGGTGCTGGAGAAGGCGCTGGGCGTTCTCACGTCTGGACTCAGGGACAACAGAAAGTGGTCTCTCTAACCTGAGCATAGGAGACCTCAAAGCCCATCTCCACAGTGACACACTTCCTTCAACAAGACCACGCCTACTCCAACAGGGGCACACCTCCTAATAGTGCCACCCCCTTTGGGGGCCATTTTCTTTCAAACCGTCACAGCGGTTATTAACAATGAAGCTGAATAATCTTAGAATACTTTTATTATTATTATTTTAGTAATTCCTTTTTGGGTTTTGAAGTAGAGGCAGCTGTTTGACAGCTAAAAAGCCACATAGCATCTGATCCGTGGGGGACTTAGCCTAAGGCACCATTCTCCTCATCCCTGGTCCACGGAATTTCCCACAATTTTCTGCTGCCTCTGTATCTTGGAGGGGCCAGCTCCTCAGGGTCCTCTCTCCTCCTAGGTAAACCTCACCCTTAGAATGGAGGGAGGATGGGTTGGTGGACTGTTTGAGTGGGCTGTTCTGATTGGTTCTCAGGAGAATGTGTTCCTTTGCAGCCTGGAGGAAGGCCCAGCTGTATGCAGGTGCGTGACTATGGAGACTGCTGTCCTCTGGGCAGAACACGGGTCTTAGGGTTTCTCCTGCTGTGTTGAAACGCTATGACCAAAAGCAACTTCAAGAGGAAAGAGTTTGTGTGACTCACACTTCCAGTTCGCACCACAGCAAGTCAAGGCAGGAGTCTCACAGGGCAGGATGTGGAGGCAGGAATTGGTGCAGAGCCAGGAGGAGTGTCGTGTGCTGGATTGCTCCTCCTGGCCAGCCCTATGACCACTCCACGGGAAGATGTAGCCCACCATGGGCTGGGTTCTCCCATACCCATCATCAATCAAGAGAATGCCGTCAAGGACTTGCCTACAGCCAATCCTATGGAGGCATTTCCTCTGTTCAGAGTCCTTCAGATGACTCTACCTCTTGAGCTGTCAGAAGCAGATACCCCAAGGAGGCCTGCACAAAAGTGGGCCCATTAGTTTTCTGTCATGGAGAGAGGGGTGGGCTCATGGGGCCCCTCCCCCATAAATTTACAGGAAATTGTTGGTTATTAGGAGAGAAGAATCACAAGGCCCTTCCTCTCCCTTTTCAAGAATGTGTGTGAGTGTGTGTGTGTATGTGTATGTGTGTGTTTGTGTCTATATGTACGTGTTTCTCTGTTGTATGTGTATATATGTGTCTCTCTCTGTGTGTGTTTGTGTGTATGTCTCTGTGTATGTGTATATGTGTGTGTGCATCTGTGTGTGTTTGTGTGTATGTATATATCTCTGTGTGTATATATGTCTGTCTTTATGTGTGTGTATGTGTATATATGTGTATGTGTGTGTATTTGTGCATGTTTCTGTGTGTGCTTATGTGTATATATGTTTATGTGTATGTGTCTCAGTGTGTCTCTGTGTATGTATATTTGTGTGTGTATGTGTATATATGTTTATGTGTATGTGTATATGTGTGTCTCTGTGTATCTCTCTGTGTGTATATTGTGTTTGTGTGTGTATGTGTATATATGTTTATGTGTATGTGTATATGTGTGTCTCTGTGTATGTATATTTGTGTGTGTTTGTGTATGTGTATATATGTTTATGTGTATGTGTTTGTGTATATGTGTGTCTCTGTGTGTCTGTGTGTATATTTGTGTGTTTATGTGTGTGTGTATTTGCGTGTGTGTGTGTGTGTATGTTTGTTCAGCAGGTACATTGTCCCCACAACTCCCAGGTCTGTGTTTCATGAGACAACCGCTGACCAGTGGGTACAGTGTCTGAAACCCCTCACATGACCTGTGCTTCTCTTGTAGATTGGCGCAGGGAGCACTTCCAGTCCTGTGAGTGACTCTGGTCCTTAGGGACACTCCTCCTGCTCTTCCCATGGCTCTGGTCCCTCCTTCAGCTCACAGTGGTGACAACCTCAGTGGTGGTGGTCTGGGAGGCAGAAGGGATGCTCGCTAAGCTGGGTCTGGTTCTCAAGGGCCCTGTGACCTTGAACCCCTAGATGGCCTTTTGTTCCCTTCCCCTGCTTGCCAGTCATGGTCTTGAGCCACAGGCTGTTCTGGGAGGGACTTGTCCCCCTAGAAGAAGCTAAGAGACTTTGAGGTGGAGGTGGGATGGCTGAGGCCTTGTTTAGGGGCTGGAGAGGACCTCCCACGATTGGTAACTCTCCTGCAGGGTCTGTCACTCTGGATCCAGACACTGCCCACCCCATCCTCGCCATCTCTCAGGACAGGAGGAGTGTGACCTGGTAGGACACCACCATGCACTTGGATGGCCCCTTCAGTGTGTTAGGCATGGAAGGCATCTCCTCTGGAAGACGCTACTGGGAGGTGAAGATAGGGAATGGAGACAGCACTGAGTGGACTCTGGGGGTCTGCAGGGAAGATGTGGACAGGAAAAAATGGTATTCAGAGTGTCCAGGAAAGGGGTTTTGGACCATGGGACGGTCTAATGATGTATATTGGGCCTTTACTGAACCTGGAAAAACTTCATTATCCTTTCGGCAAGCTCCCCAGCGTGTGGGTGTGTTTGTGGACTACAGCGAAGGCGACATTTCCTTCTATAACATGAGTGAGATGTCCCACATTTTCTCCTTACGTGAAGCTTCCTTCACTGGGACTCTTTTCCCATACTTCAGGCTCAAGTCTGGAGATGTTTCAATGATTCTCAGCTCCTTGGAGCATGACTCTGAGGGGGTCGAAGGAGAGAAGAGAAGAAGGAGGAAGGGGAAGAAGGGGATGAGGGGGAAGAGAAAGAAGAGGGAGAAGAAAGGGAAGAGGTTATTTTTGCCTTTTTTGAAGGAGTCTGGGAATCCTCCAGGGGAGGGGCTCACCCCAGGCTCTGGAGTTGTTGACTCTCCCCCAGGGGAGGAATCCCCATTCCTCCCTTATCCTGGTGACACTTTGCTCCCATAGTGCAGTTCACTGCCTCTAAGTTGTCAGTGTGAGTCCTTGTGGGACTGCAGAAGCCACAGGCTTTCTTTGGGTCACCAACCAGCTCCCAAGTCCTGAATGGGGACTTGGCATTCATTGTGGATGCTTGACCTTATCTTGCGCTCACCCTACTAGCTCTCATTGCTTAGATTAGCCTGCTTCTCTTCATCTCCGCTTTGCCTCAGGACTTTTTACCTTTCTTTCCTTTCATATATCCTACTCTGAGTGTGTCTGTCTGGTGGCTGCCTGGCTGCCCCGTGGCGTCCCCCTCTCTTTCTCCCTTGTTCTCTTCTCCCTTCTCCCCTGAGAACCCCCTAGATTCTTCCTCCTCCTTATTCTCTCTGCCCGCCAGCTCTGCCCACCCCTCTACTGCTTAGCTATTGGGTGTTCAGCTTTTTACTCAACCCATCAGATGCCTTAGGCAGGCAAAGTGAAGCAGCAACACCTCTTTACACTGGACTGCTGGTCCCGGTGCTATAATCAGACAAGCTGAGCAAGCGGTGGGAGAAAGCCAGGAAGCAGCCTCCTCTATTGCCTCTGCACCAGCTCTGCCCTGCTTGAGTTCCTGTCCTGACTTCCTTTGATGATGGACTGTGATCTGGAAGTGTATTGAAACAAACCCTCTCCTCTCCTTGTTGCCTGTTTGTCATGGTGTTTTCCACAGCACAGAAGCCCTAGCTGAGACTAGGTGCCTATGGCTTCTTTCTGGGAAATGTGTTGTAGAGGCCAGAAATCATAGCTCCTCATGTGTGAGGTCCTGGGTTCAGTCCTCAGGATTGTAAAGTAAAACAAAGAACAACCCGAAGTAGACAGATTTATTAAGTTAAAGCATTTCTGGTTTATTAGTACTTGTCTCTTCAAGCAGAGTTTGAAAATTATCTCCTCTGAGCCAAATTGTGTTTGACTGTTTTTGTGTGTGTGTGTGTGTGTGTAGGTATGTGCTGTGAACTGTTGTAAACATTTATTTAATGTAAAATGTCAAATAGTACTTTGTGCTATGAGTAAAGATGAAATTCAAATTTGAATATCCATAAATAAAGTTTTATTGGAACACAGCAGTGTTCACTCATTTGTATAGTACGTATGGCTGCCTTGGTACCCACAACTGAGCTGTTGTGATGGTATAAGCAGACAAGAATAAGTATTTGTTCTCTTATAAAAAATTTAACTGGCCTTGACAAGGTATTTTATTTAGTAATAATAATTACAAAGTAATTATTTTATTTAGTAATTCTACTGACCCTTGTAGAGTAAAACCTGGTGCTGAGGGAAAGCTGGATTCCTGGTCGCACAGAGTAAGGTGTGCACAGCATCTGGACCAGCGTCTCCTCCGACAGATGCTCAGGCTGGGCACAGTGTCCAGCCTTCCTCCCCATCAGTCCTTTTGGGAGCTGTGGGAGGGAGGGGACTACAGCGTGAGGGGACAATGGAGGACAAGATGGAGGGGTGGAGAGGGTGGGGAGGTGAGGGTTGGAGAGAGGGAAGAGCTTTGGGGTGT